GTATGGTATTGTTTTTTGCGGTTCGCAGTCTTTGGTGGGGTATGCGGATTCTGACTGGGCCAGTGATCCAGATAGTCGGCGATCCACCACCGGCTATGTCTTTATTCTGAATGGGGGCGCCATAAGTTGGAAGAGCAGGCTACAACCTACTGTCGCTGCATCGTCGGTTGAAGCCGAGTACATGGCTGCTGCGTCAGCAACGCGGGAGGCAGTTTGGTTGCGTAAGTTGATGAGGGATTTGGGCTACGAGGTACGGGCCGTTGAGATCAAGGACGATAGTCAAGGTGCTATAGCCCTGATCCGCAACCCCATCACGTCAGAGCGGTCAAAGCACATAGACGTGATCCACCACTTTGTTCGAGAAAAGGAGAGTTCGGGTAGTGTATCGTTCCAGTATTGCCCTTCTCACGATATGATTGCAGATGTGCTGACGAAGCCGTTGGCTTTGGTCAAGTTTTCGAAATTCCGAGAGTGCATGGGAGTTCGTTGAGTTTTCTTCTGGGGTGTGCCAGAGTTCTGTCCGCGGGGGAGTGTTGATATCTCGTCCAGAACTCCTGCATATCGTAGTTTGGCGGGATACCTGTACTGGTTCTGGAGCGGACTTCCGAGATACACTTTGTATTTATGGCAGGGTCTTGCCTTTTATCCTCGCTCTAATCCCAGACCTATGTAACGTATAACGAGGTGATCGCTCTGTATTCGCTGCTTAGTTAACATGTAAAGAACTGAATAAAGGGGAAAGCGAGGTCTGCCTTGCTTAGCATATGGTTCTGACGGCGCCGCGCGTTCCGCCGGTCGGAAGGATTGCTTATCAGACCACCACTCCGTCCCATAAAGTAAAAAATACTGAACTACTTTGAAAAATAGTTCCTTAAAGTGATGCATTATGAAACACGCTGCCCGTCTAATGGCTCCGTGGTCGCTCCGAAGTTGGTGGTTCGACGGTTCGAAAACGAACCGATAGCACAGCCGCAAGCTTTTGCTGCGCAATAATGCAATATAAATCAAACATATTAACAAACTTCTATATCTTATTTTTCTTTAACTTACCTGTAAAGAAGACAAGGAGACACCTGACTGGATTTCAAGTTAGCTTAAGTTATTGCCATATCATGCCTTGAACAAAGCACTAGTCTAATGTACTTTAACATGTTCCTAGGTTAGGAATCCATCGCCTGTCTACTCCTAATTCTTGCAACGGTCGGAATCCTTATGGACAACAAAGCAAATGGAGTCGAAAGCGAGCTCATTGCATCGTGCGGTACCAGATTTCTGTATGCGCGGGGGACGGAGACGGCCACTTCGCGAAATAGCCGTACGAAGGATGCCGCTGGTCGCCTGGACCGATCGCTCTCACCAACGCCGGCGCTTTCCAGAAAAGGTGAATCATCTCCACTCCTGTTATCTGGTGGTCCCATCGCGTGCACAATTTCTCAATTGAGAGCACTAGTCGACTTCGAGTAGGGCAAGACCTGAGCTAGCGATGCCACCCAAGTTCAAACCGCGCTTATAAACAAATCCTGCAAAATGACAAATTTGTGTTTGTATTCAAAATTGTTATGCAGATTCTAGGCGAAGGAACGTGAACAACGTTCGATTTAAGCAGTCCGTCCAGATATCGATGATCGACACCTCAGGACGGACGTCGCCTAGCGAAAGCGCGGCAGCTCGAGGCGGAACCGGGAAGGCGTCCCGGTTAGCGGGCAGCACGACAGAAAATTTCCCAGAACAACGTCGTGGCTTGGATGCTGAAAACGATGATGGCGCGGCGGTCGATGGCGCCGGCGGCGAAACCTTCAGCGGCGGCACCGGCCATACCGTTGACGGCGAGGACTACGACGATGTCATTAACATTTCGATGCATAAAGTTTTGGAGCAATTGGAAGAGGAGCGAAATCGCCTCAAGTCAATAGATCGCGGGATGAGCACCTTGGTCGACAGTGTCCTTACAGTGAAGACAAGGACAGCGCATGTACGTGTGTATGTATGATGTGTGAAACAGGGGGGTGTATCTTCGCCCGTGGCAGCTACCCTGCGAAACCCTGCCTTCCCCGGTATTTCGGGGCACCCTCATCCAGTCACCCTAGTCAACTTCTCAGTGGATCGCTCAGGTTCCGCACCCACCACCAGCATCCAACGGAATCTGCCGGGTCGACAGCGGCCCAACTCCATTCCTGGTCGGCTCGCAGGTTAACTTTATCCCAGGTCACCACCGTCCATCAACTAGGGGCGCAATGCCTTCCACCATCGGAAGGACTTTTGACCCTAATGGGTATCGATCCCGGGATCTCCCGGGGGCAATGGTCGCGCCTTACCAGTAGTGCCAAAGTATGTATGTCTGCGTGCGTGCGTAGGTTAGCGTCTCTAGAAAGGTTCCCTAAGTAGAAAAACCGTACACTCATTGAGTGCTTATGCTTAAACTCCTAATAAAAACAGGCAGTAGGCAGAGAAGGCCACAACCATCGAACGGAACCTTATACCAGGGGAGCAAAAATTTCCAGCAGAGAAGCTGTCTAGCATTGTCTTGCCATAGTCTAGTTTACTGCACTCGCACATGGAAACGCTTTTTTTGTGTTTTACCATCTCCCGTCTACCACTACTTCTACCATTTCTTTCCCACAAATCAATTCCGGGAACTAATTACTCCTCCACAGGAGATTATCGGCCGAACGCTGCGCCATCGATCTCCGTCACTTCTTCTCACGCGAGCCCCTCTGGACGAGAACTTGATGCAGTGTAAAGCCATGGCCCCCCGGTACGACATTTTGATGGGACGGGAAACCCCACCGCTAGCCCAAGATGAGGAAGAGGAAGACGACGGGGACTTAGTGCAGGAGGGCTCGAAGCAGGTGAGTACGGACGGCTTCCTGAGGGGCTCTTGGGATACGGCACAGGGGCCGTACAAATGTTTGCACGTTCGTCCCCAAGGGGTCACTTAGACTCAGGAAAGGAAGACTGGATACGAATGCCATTCTAAGGCATTGAAAGCAGTTTTCATTGTTTTTCTTTTTGCCTGTCTGTATGTATGTATGTTTTCTTGAGTATATATATAAACACACACATATATATAGGGGGAAAAGAAAAGACGGGAGTAGGAGAAGGAGGGAACTACAGGAGCGTCAAGGAGAACGGACAGGAAAGGGAAATATCCTGAAACTTGACGTACATCAGTGATATTCAAAAATTGTCTTGTTCCTTTCACCTAAAAACCTTTTGGTTACAACCCGCTATCAATCATCCGTTGGCCCCTTTCGTTCGCCTGTGTGTGTTGTGCTTTTAGATCCTACTGGACTTTTACGCCAAGCACTCGGACTTGTACAAGTGGGTGAGTGAGGGCTGGTGACCCGTGGTTCAGGTCGTCGGCCACTCAGACGGTTTAGTAGATCGGCCTTAATTCCCGCCTCCTAGGCACTAATGAGACCCACATTGCCGTGTTGTATACCAATACATGCGCAACACCAATACATGCGCAACATCAATACATGCACAAAGAGAAACACGCAGCAGCCTTGTTTAAATTAATATTTAATTTCCCTCGTCATCAGGACTCTTCTGGTAATAAAACATCCGTGGCGAGAGATGGATGCCAAGGCCCAAGGCCCCACTGGAAGGCGCATATCACAATATCAACCTAAAACCCTAAAACCCATATCCCTCCATGCTCCTCCCCTCCTGGTGGCCTGTTTGATTTTACGCGTGTTGAGAAAAGAGTCCCGCCCGTCGGTCGACCGTTCTGGAGCGAGTCAACGCCGTAAGTTTGGCGGCGCCCTCCTGGAGCGATTCTGAGGACCACATCGTTGAGGTAAGCCCTGCGAGGTTTAATGCCGCGCGCAAGTTCATGTTCGCACAAAACAACTGAAACAGTGGCAAAAGCAGCGGAGGAGGTTCAATCTCGGCTCCGTACGCTTCCGTACACATTCAATGCGACATGCTGCGACTGTACTTGTCGATCCATAATCAATTCAGTTACCGTGCACGAGGTTTCATTTCTATCTATGCTTGTGTTCGAGAGGTGAACTTTATAATTTCAGGGCGTTCTTGGGCGCCCTCATTTTATTCTGAGAGTAGCAGATCCTATAACTCGAAACCTTCAAAGGTCATGTGTCGCAACCCGTGGCGGCGAGGGATGTATGGCTTTGACAAGTAACGGCTTAGAAAATCCAAACCAAATTTGTTGCTTCTGGCTCCTGCTCTCTCCTGCTGGCTCGGCCTCCTGCTGCTTTTGTTTTGCCGCTGTCTAATGCTGCTGCTGCGTCGTCGTCGTCGTCATTGTCGCCGTCGTCGTCGTCGTCGCCGTCGTCGTCGTCACCACCGTCGTCGTCGTCGTCGTCGTCGTCGTCGCCGTCGTCGTCGCCGTCACCGTCGTCGTTGTCGCCGTCGTCGCCATCGTCACCACCGTCGTCGTCGTCACCACCGTCGTCGTCGTCGCCGTCGTCGCCGTCGTCGTCGTCACCACCGTCGTCGTCGTCGTCGTCGTCGTCGCCGTCGTCGTCGTCGTCGCCGTCGTCGTCGCCGTCACCGTGGTCGTTGTCACCACCGTCGTCGTCGTCATCACCGTCGTCGTCGTCGTCACCACCGTCGTCGTCGTCGCCGTCGTCGCCCTTGTCATCGTCGCCGTCGTCGTCGTCGGTAGTCCGTACAGGATTCCAATAATGGCAGCAACAAGTCCGGGCGGACAGCCCTCAACCGCACAAAATCGGGGGTGCGTGCCCGATATCTCCAGGTGCATAGTCCCCCGCCGATGCCGGAAGAAACCAAACCCGCACCCCCCGCAACTAAACTCCATACGAAGCGGAAGGAGGCACTGGCGTTTGGCTCAGGCAGAGGCCGGGTAGTCGATTTCGGCGTTGGCGCCAGCGACGACAGTGACGACGGCGGATTAGTTCGCTCCCGGTCGCCGACGTTGGTAGGGCCGCCGCTGACGTCGCCGCTGCACGGCGCCTCCAAGTGTGCGCCTCGGCTAGGCGAGAGGCCGGCTAGTTCGGGCCACGAGGCTAAACCGGGACGGAGTTCGGCGGTAGCGGCCCGACGGCAGGACGGTACGGAACCCAGTGGTGGAGCCACAGCGGCCGTCGGGGCCTTCACCGCTGCCGCCGCCACCACCGTCACCGTGTTTGCCGCCGGCGGGATCCGTCAACACGATCCCCCCAGTGATCCCCAAGCTCTGGTGTTGAATCTTAGTCTGAAGAGGAGCCTTTCAGAGAAGCTAAGCTCTGACTTTCGCGGCGTGTCCGGCGAAAAGGATTGCAGCGGGTACGGCAGTGGTGGAGATCAGAGCTCGTTAATACCGGTGGGTTTGGGCTGGGTCTCTGGTGCGCCCTCTGGGATCACGAAAAGGTAAGTAAAAAGTAAAATCCCATTCATTTGCTCTTCCAAGTAGCTGATGCTGGTGTTCGTACGCCGTACACCGTATGCCGTATTGTACGGATAATGATTTTGTACCCTCTGCAGAGCAATCCGGATGAGGTACTCAAGAGCATCCAGTCCATGCTGACGGACATTCAGGTGCGCGGTACCTTAGGAAGGGCCTTTAGAAGCCTGCCATTCTGGGGAGTGCGGCACGGCGGGAAGACGGCTGAATTTTGGGTTTTTAATTTTTAAATTTTGGATATTTGAAGTTTTGAAATTGGGGGGAGCTGGTTAGGGTTTTTCATCGCCGATCTGGCCTGGCTAACTGTTTATTGTCCACTTTGCACTCAAACATTGCTACACCAAAATATTTTAACCCGAGTGAGCGCTATTTCCTTAGCTTCCTTTGGCTCGCGACTAGCTAGCTACTTTATGTCGGCCGCTAATCGACCCGCTCGCGCACGTTGACGACCCATTTACCCTAATACAAACGCTGAATCAATACTCCCAAAACTCGCATCAGGCGCATCACGTCTCATACGAAGAAAACAAAGAAAACCGCACGTAAGTTCACGTCCTCCAATGCTAAAGAAAGCTCTTTGGCGGTAATTTCCCTTTTGTACGGCAGACGAGTAATCCTCGGCTCAGTCCGTACCTGCCTTCGTTTGTCGCGGACTCGCTGACACGAGCACGAGCTAGCAAGACAGGGCCTCAGCCGCTAGCGGCTGCGTTGTCGACAATCACGACTGCGTTTCGGCCGTCGAGCCATGTGCGGCCCGGATCCACTTGTACGACAACGGCTCCCACTGCCGCTGGCGCCGTCGGCGTGGCGGCACTGGCGGCGCAAGCATCCGGCGCCTGGACGGCGAATGCGGCGGAAGACAAAGTCGCCAATGACCCTGGTGGCAGCGATGCTGGCGGTGACAGAGGTGAGGCAGATGGCTGCCCAGCAGCCGGCGACGTGATGCCAGCTCATCGATGCCCTTCCAGTCTCGTTCACCTAGCTCGGGAGCTGCAGCCGCTGCACAAGCACGTCATGCGGACACGGCGGCGGAGAGGAAGTGCCTCTGGCTTGCAGGCATCGTCCACGGCGACCGATAACAAGCCGAAGAACAATCATGGCAACCGCGGCAGGGCCGTGGCCATTGTTCGATTTGAAAGCGGTCGAGGGCGACTTGATCTGGTTTCTCCGAGTCCGACGGCGGGTGGTGGCGACGGCGGCGGCACAGATAGTACAGCAAATGATGGCGACGACGAGCACGATGATAAAGATCTGATATCGCCAGAAGCCTCGGGACGTTGCACCTCCAATGCCAGCAGGTGCGGGTCCCCCCTGCTGCTCCCACCCCTCTCACGTCAATCACCCAACGCTGGGGTGCGGAGCCGCGGCGGCGGTCACGACGGCGGCGGTAGCGGCCGCGGTGGCGGCATCAGCGGCCGTGCAGCAGACGCCCAGCGACGAGCTCTTCCGCCAGAGCAAATCCAAGGGCCGCAATTTTGTATGGACTCGGACATGGAACCTGAAGTTCCGTTGTGGACCAAACCGCCTGCACCGGATCCGATGGCGCGAGCGGCGCCGTACAGCGCCTGGAACAGCAATGGCGTCATTATGCGACACGGAAGTGCGTTGCTTCGCGCCGGTGCGTCGCGGTCGCCGTCGCCGGCGCCGTCGAGGTCTAGCTCGCCGTCGCCGGCGACGTGGTACGGAAGTAATGGGCGTAGCAGCCCGATGGCGCACCGGTGAAGAAAAAGGAGCACCCGCCTACGGCATCAGGGTGCGCGCATTCATCCCGACAGTGTTTTCGTCCATGTTTGAGCAACAGTGCATGGTATTGTACAGCGGAGGGGCAGGCTTAAGTTTCTTTGATGCTCGTGCTGCGCTGTGTCGTAGCATAATAAATGCTTGCTGTGTACAGTAATGGAATCATTATCATTTTTATATTTGGCAGTTAATAGCTACTCGTTTCGAAATGTGCACTTGCGGCATCGCCGCTAGCGTATTCATTGGAAAGTACCGATCTTGTCCGCCCCTCTCCCTAGTGTACCCATGTTGACTTATTGATTGATGATTCGGCTAAACTGTACATTGGAGTGTTGCAGGCGTCAAGGTTTCTGATTGGTCAGCCGTTATCATTCTCGGGTCGATTTATCGGTCTCCGGCTGTAAGCAAATTGCGAGAAGCAGCTGAGGATCGCGATGAAGTCGTGACTGTTGCTTGTCGTTCAGTTTGACGTTATGTCATGTGCTACTGCTGCAGCAGTTTTCACGGAAGGCGACAAGGGTCGGCAAGCAAGCTAAAGATTGAAATGGTTGAACAGGCTGAACGGGGTTTCGGTGCGGCAAACTGGGCTAACTGCGCGCTGAGATTTCAGACGCTATTAGACGATTTTTTTCCGCTTGCTGCCGCACTGGAAAATGATTTCTGTTGTTTTCAGCGCTCGTTAATGGGGACATCTGCATCATTGCCAACCTGCTCGGAAGCGAAAGCATGAATTTGAAACAATTGCCATATCTTACAGGTCCGAATCCAAATTGGTGAATTCAACCTTTTGTGGTTATTATTTAGTTATCCAGTTGTGACTGTTATAGCATGATGATTATAAACCTGGGATCGAACTCCGCGTCGATCTACACACACCGGGCGGCAACCTTACGAAGGTACCAATTCTTTAGTCATGGGATTGAGCGGCGCTTTCTGGCTTCTCCCCTCTTCGACGTCCAGAGCTTCGGGATATATCGGGATTGTTAGCGCAAGGAGCTTGACGGCCCGCGCTTGACTACCTTTTTTCGTTCGATTAAGAAGACGCGCTTCCGTCAGCACTTCAAGCAATTCTTCATCACGACCATCATCAGACCTTTTGCCGAACCACCTTCCAGTTTTATGCGAAACGCTGGAAAATAACTAAAGATAATAAAGGAGTTGTTTGTTCTTATACTGATACATCCAATGTAACGCTCCCAGAACATCTTTCTTCCCTCTCTGTCTGTCTGTTTGAAGTCTGAGTGGAACTACATGTGCTCCACAAGCGTGCTCTGTACGACCATCCCCCCAAGGAAGCAAGTCCCAACTAACCAACCAAGAGGTCGTGCAAGCAACCTGCGCACCTTAAAAAGGTACCCCAAAAAAGCCCGATTTCTGCCTTCCCCCTTCAACCCACATCTCACACCCCCACATCTCACATGTCTCCCACACCCACACCCCGCTCACCCACAGGTCCTGGGGGACCACACATAAACCCGCCATAAGCCCAAAGCCGACCTCAGCAGACACGCCTGCTTTAAAAGCTCATTCTTGCGTCAATAAACCCACGGCCTAACCTGCCTAATGCGCGGCTAGCCAGCTAGAGCTTTAGGATCCGCACCTCCACAACTCTCCTTTCTTTCCATGCAGTAGTCGGCTCATGACAAGTGGGACTACATCTTCTAGGAGTTACCTCAAAGCGCCTCTTCCCGCCTTATCCCCTGACGGTTTTGCACTACCTTTTGCACACCTCTCCTCCTCAGCGCACCCCGGCTCGAACCGCCACTGCTGCGCTTTTTTCACACGCACACTGGCGCGGCGGGCATTTACCAACAACGGGCTTACCATGTACCAGCTGTTCGCTGGTACATTCAATCAACCTGCGCAAGCATGCAGTACATGCAATATGTACGACACATACGTACGACACATGCGTTAACATTATGCCAGAAAGCCCCTCTTCAAATGCCACCCAGTCACAGCTGCATTCCTCAAATGCATCACTATAATGGCGTCCAGGTAGTTTAACATCACAAATTGCGTGTACGACAAACGTTCCGCGTACCGTTATCACCAGACTCCCCTAACACAATCGCAAAGTGATGCAGGCACACATACATACATACATACATACATACATACATACATACATACATACATACATACATTACACACCGACGTACATACATTCTGAAGTCGGGTGGGGTGATTGGATTAGGGTGCCCCTCTAACAGGGGAGAGCAGGGCATTGCCTCCAGAAAGGGGGCCGCTGGCGAAGCTATAACATCCTGTAACAACATACATACATACATACATACATACATACATACATACATACATACATACATGTACGCATAATACTCGCAACCCTTCACCTGCACGTTTCTTGTTTAACAATATCCATATCCAGAAGCGCGATATAAATTCGACACTATTAGCAAAATAACCCCCAACGACCAAAAGTGAAAACGAAACGAACCGAAACCCCTCCCCACACACACTTTCAACTCCGCTTATACCGTCCACTCATGCCGAACAAAGTAAAGGCACAAAACCTGACTGATCTGACTAACTAACGAACGGACATGACCTAACAGAAAATGACCCAAAACAAATCGCAGGATAAGAAATACTGGACCTGTTGCGTCCCATCGTTAATGTGTCCTGCCACCTCCATTACAGAGAATAAACATAGTCCGTCTGATCCGCCTGACCCGCCACCATAAAGAACATAATCCGTCGCAACATCGTCCCGCTCCCCTTTCTTCAGGGTGATTACACGTGCTGCTGCAGGCCCTGCTCCACGGAGCACCTGGAGCTGCTCACATAACGGCAACCAACCGCACACGTGACGAACTTAGTTAGCTATCCAACCCGTTACCCTGCAACAACAGCTGCAACAGTAACTGACAACTGTACAGACAGCGGTTACCACCATTGCAGCTCGTACGTTTTGAGGGTGAAATAGATCCTTTGAAGTTGTCAGCCCGCTCTGAACGTCCTTGCCGCCGCAGCCGCCGCAGCCATTTCAACTGCTACTGCTACTGCTGCTACTGCTGCTGCTGCCGTCATTGATTATTACGCTGGTTATTAGAAGCCGCCGCTGGCTCAGGTACCAGCCGTTCCAGCATTGCGAGCGCAAGGGCCAAGCTGCTACTGTCGCTACTGCTACTGTCGCTACTGCTACTGCCGCTGCCTTGGGCATTGGGATCGTCGCCACCGTGCGGCGGGCCGTCCACGGTACCGGCAGCTGCGGCGTGTGTCGCCGTCGCTGCCGCCGCCAAGCCGGCGGCACCGGAGTCCAGCACGGCAGCGGGGGTCGTGCTAGTAGTGCTCGTGCTTAAGTTACCGTTACTGCTGTTGATATCACCAACTGAATCTGTGTACGGCACCTGACGCGACGAAGCGGATGAAGTCCCACTGCCGTCCGCGTTGTTGACAGCGCCATTGGTGCTGTCGTTGGCGGTTAGGGCGGTGGTTGTGATCGTTGTTGTGGCGGTTGTTGCTGAGGTGAGCTCGGCCGCCTCTGATGCCGTTGGTAGTTGAGGTGTTGCCGCCCCTGGTGTCGATAATGTCGTCGGCGGTGTTGGTAACGAGCTGTCAGCATCGTCAGCACCCCGTAGGCTTTCCAGGCGAGAGACAGCTTCCTGCACACCCGTCAGCATTCAACGCATCGCAATCAACATTACTACAAGCAATCAACATTACTACAAGCAATCAACATTACTACAAGCAATCAACATTACTACGAGCAATCAACATTACTACAAGCAATCTAAATTACTTAGCAAATTGTGTTCAGACATCGGCAAACGCTTCGGGAGTTTCGGATCGTACCGAAGAAACTCCCGAAAACAGAAATAGAGTTCCCGAAGCCGTCCAGCTTGCAGAAATAGGATCCTACACCTATTTACATACAATTTTTAACGTACACGAAGGGTGTTATGTGGCCCCCGAAGGGTCGCCGGACGACCTGACTCCGCGGTCAATCATGAACAGACCCGTGCTGTAGGCGCAGTTTCACCCCCGCTTCACCCTCGAAAGGGCCCAGAGACGGCGTGTCGCCTTCGGCCTTCGCCAAAACAGGTCGCGGGCCATGACCGTTTTCTTGCTGATCTTGATAGTTGTAACGGAAATTCTATCGGAAGACAGTGTTCTTAGACCCGTTCCCGAAACCAGAAATAGCCCATTTGCCGATGTCTGATTGTGTTACGGTTGGAGGGGCGGTTGGCGGTTGGACGTTGGAAGACAGTGTCGTTGAAGGAAAGGGGTTAAAACCTGAAAAACGGTTATGGGATTACAGTCGCGGACGCCTGTATAACGCGGCGCCAAGTGCACCCACCTTGGGAAGCTTGTCTTTGTATTTGGAAGCGATCTGCTGCATCTGAGCATTGTAGGCCCGCAACTCGCGAGCCAGCGCGACGCTCCTCTGTACGGCAGTACGGCAGTGCAACACGCCCAATACGGCAGCATTGTTTTATATTGTTCCTTCAAATGAACCGGCATGCGTGCATACCTATTCCTACCTACATACATACATACACACATATATACTCAGGTTAGACACTACTGGTAAGGCACGGACCATTGGCCCGGAAGATTCTCGATCACGAAATTGTTTCCGATGGTGGAAGGTAAAGTGCCCCTAATCGATGGACGGTGGTGACCTGGGATAAAGTTGACTCGCGACCAGGAATGGAGTTGGGCCGCTGTCGACCCGGCAGATTCCGTTGGATGCCGGTGGTGGGTGCGGAACCTGAGCGACCCACTGAGAAGTTGACTAGGGTGACTGGATGAGGGTGCCCCGAAATACCGGGGAAGGCAGGGTTTCGCCGGGTAGCGGCCGCAGGGTGAAGATATACCCCCCTGTCCCCCTTGATGATATAACAAGTGCCCACGGGCTCACTGTCCCTTAACCAACTAACCTAACCAACCTAACCCACCCAGACAAATGCCCACGGGCTCACTGTCCCTTAACCAACTAACCTAACCAACCTAACCCACCCAGACAAATGCCCACGGGCTCACTGTCCCTTAACCAACTAACCTAACCAACCTAACCCACCCAGACAAATGCCCACGGGCTCACTGTCCCTTAACCAACTAACCTTACCAACCCAACCCACCCAGACAAATGCCCACGGGCTCACTGTCCCTTAACCAACTAACCTAACCAACCTAACCCACCCAGACAAATGCCCACGGGCTCACCTCACGCATCCTATTGGCGCCTCGACGCTGCATCGTACTGATGATCAGCTGATTCAGCACAGCGGCGGTGTACGACGCAGCTAAGTTGCCACCAGACGCGATCAGGATACCGTTGAGTACCAAAACCTGCCCAGGCACACGTGCGAGGTGAGAAAGGTGGGTGGGCTGTTGGAAATTTACCAAAACAGGGAAACGCGGCTTTCTGTGCTTCAACATGCGTACGACGTGGCAGTAAGTTGGTAAGTAGGTTTCAAATGCTTCGATACAGGTACCTCTTTTAAGAAAGTCGTTCGTCTCCGAAACCGCCAGGATGCACTGCCATATGGAATAAACAAAGACCCAACCACCGTGCGGCGATGTTGGCAACCGTTCTAACCGTCTCAACTACCGTTCGTATGAACTGAAATCGTACCTGAAGCACGTCGCGCGCAGCTTGAATGGCCGCCGCGCGGCGCATGACAGCCGCGGCATTGGAGGCACCGGCCAGTCCAGGGCCCCCTGGACCGATCAGGACCTGCGCGGCGGCGGCAGCGGCGCCGCCGCCGCCGTTGCGCCCTGGGGCTTTGGTGCCACCGCCGGCGCCGCCGGACGCTCGTCCTGCCGACGGCGACGGCGACGACGACGCCACCACGCCCATTAGCGTTTCTAGCCTCTTCGCTGCTCGGCGTGAGCGTGACAGAACAGACCACGCTACGAAAGCTGCCACCCCGGCGGCGACGGCACATTCGCAAGCGCCGTACACGCCCAGCTCTGCCGCCGCGTCGTACAAGTCCTGCGGCAGCACTCCCAGCGCCGCCGCCACTGCCGGCAGCTCGTACGTCAGCACCTCGTCCAGGCCGGCTTCGTACACGCGATCCTGAGAATACGGCAGCGGTGCATCAAATTTGTTCGATTATTGCCTTGGCTATAATGCATGTGTACGGCAGTGTGCGTACGATGGCCGGCGGTGAAATCAAAGAAAACATAGTACAAAACGCAAGGGGTAACTTATAGCTTATAGAGAATACACAGCAAATGCCAAGAGAGGTTCCATTAAGAACTCCCGAGGCGAGCGGAATTAGATTTGGGGTTCCCTTTGCATTGCCTTCTCACCCCCTCTCTCTCTCTTAGCATCGCTTCCGACTTCGCCCAAACATTTACCGACGATGGCAGTGTTCCACACAGCAGGAAAGACAGGGCACATGGCTCCGACATGGCTCCCCACCAGGGCCCCCATCCCCAACGTGCACGACACCGTGTCGTACACCGCACGACACGCACCTGTAGCCAGCTGGCCAGCCATGTCAGCGCCACGCCACGGTACAACATCTCCCCTGCTGCCGTGTCCAGCAATGTGTACGCCGCCTCCGCCACCGGACTCAGCCGTGCCGTTGGGTTATTGCTTATGTAATACCCCTGTTAGTTGACAGTTTACCGTTGACAGTCGACAGTTGAGAGTTAACCGAAGCGAGAATGCCCGCCCGTTGCGCGGAAGCATGGTATGCGGAGTTGCCTCATCGGACCCACCGATCCCCAATGGCGCTCAACCCGCGTATGCTCCCTCTCCTACTCTTCGACATATCTGAGGTCCCGTCTGCCTGTCTGTCTGTCTGTCCGTCCGCCCGCCCGTCCGAAGCCCATGTGTCTACCAGCCGCGCGAGCTGCTGTACCCTGTGTGTATCTCCAGCACGGGTTAGAGGGGCTGCTGGCGGCGCACGCCGCGGGCATGCTGGACCTGGATGGCGCGTTCTTGGCTGCGAAGCGCGGAACCGCGCCATTAGGCCGTGGGCAGGAACCCGAGCCCACGGGGGCCCGGTTTCCCACCCTTCTGGAAGGGCGACAGGCAGCCCGGCCCCCGTTGCTGCCCGTGAACGGGAACCCGGGTAGCAGAGTCACGGAGTGGGATGGCCACAGCAACCCCGAGGCTGGTGTTTGGGTTACCGCCAGCTTAGCGGCCCCACCCCTTCCCGACTGGGAACATCAGGAGTACCCAGTGATGGCAAGACAACGCGAGAACAGCAACTCATACCCGGCGGCAACCGGCAACCTCAGCTGGGACAATATGGGCATACCTTCACCCTGAAAGGCGCCCCACACACGGTGGCCAGCCCAGCGCTGGGGCAGGGCCACAGGGGCCAAGAGGCAGAGTCAGGCGGTTTGCCCCAGCTGGGAGGTAAGCTCCTCCTGGGTAACGTGCTCTTTGGACCAGTAGAGTCCAATGCCTGTGGTGTGAGTACCCGCAAGATTGAAAGGATGCCAGAGCTGTGGCAGCTGCAACCCCCATCCACGGAATTGGGAGCCAACCCTGGCCGCCTGGCCGCCCAGGCAACGGCGGTGACAGTAGAGCGCCATCACGAGACCCTCTTGTGTGCAAACACCAGCATGGATGGCACTACACATACACACCACCTGGCGGACACTATTGTGGGCGGCGTATTAATGTCCCTGGGCGCCCGAGCCCCGTTAACGAGTGTCACGAGTGTGGTGGAGGCAGTCATCTGGGGGGCAGCAGAGCCCCTGATCGGTGACCTCACGACAGCACTGATGGGCCCAGTGGGTCTGTCATACACCCAGTGGGTGGCCGATCGCCTAACCACGAAGCTGCAAGAGTTGCTCGCCCCATTGACCACTTATTCCGCGACCTACGACGCGGACGTCCACACGGTCAGCAACAGGCTGGCCACCCTACTGGGTGGATTAGAGATGGCCGACTGCGTGTTAGGTCTGCTGAACCCGCATCACCCCCAACTGGATGCATCGCAACGAGCATGGCTACTGGCCGCAGAATCCGAGCTCACCAGAAGCGCCATATGCGACGCAAGTATGACTGAGGAAATGTGGGCAAAAGGCTTCGGCCCACAACTGGGCTGCCTTTGGCGCCTGCTGGAGCGGGTGGACGAAATGGTCAAACTTTTGCGACCAACACTTGCCGCTGCGAAATTCCACAGCGGCTGGCAAGCACACGCACCCAGGATAGCCCCCGGGGTGGGGTGATGGGTGGAGGTCAGGCGGCAGGCACAAGGGGCAGCTTAGTTTGGACCAGCCGCTGAGCTTGCCGCCCTGCTGCGGCTGCAGCCAAGGGCTGGGAGCCTGCTGCCCTACCGCCCTCATCTGCTGTCGCCAGAAACTGATCTGCTGGCGGTGCCTCTAGTGGAGTTCGGGTTCGCGGGCCTTCCCGGGTTGCTTTGCCAAACAGGTCTCGGTGGGCAGGGTTCCGGTCTGCCAGGTAGGCTGCCGCTTCCCATGCGGTGAGGAGGTCGACTGCCGCCTTAGCGCCTGTGGCTTGCGCTCTTCCTGGGGTATCTAGGCGCTGTCGACCCGAGCTGCATATCGATCCACGCCTGACACTGGCCAGGGCACCTAACCGTAACCCAACGGGAATTGAGTGTGTCCCGCCCTAACCCTCAACCTCCAACCCCCAACCCACCCTGCAACTGTACCTGGGCAAGGTGCAATGCGCTCCGCAACGACGTCCAACCGTCATCTGCTGCCGCCGTCGTAGAGGCCTGCGGCGAGGCAAACACCCTGGAGCGGCCCCACAAGTCTGCGGGAACCACAAGTCCGCCCCCAGGGGCCGTTGACGGCGGCTGCAACGACGGCCCCGTTTTGTCCGATGGGGCCGCAGCCGCCGATGGTGAGGCAGCAGCGGTGGTGGCGGCGTCCTCCGCCGTTGCCGCTGCCGATGACGATGATGATGGCGACTCTGCTGTCTCGCGGCGACGCTGCTCATTTGAGAGGTTGTTCTCCAAAGCCTAAACAAAGGTCAGATATACGTACAGATAAGACGCAGGTCCCAAATGTGCATGGCTTCACATGTACAGCCTCGGCAACAGAAAAGGGTGGCAATGTCCAGGTGGCACGCTTCGACTCCCAACCAGAACCGGTTAAGGTGGTTAAGGTGGTTGACAGTACGATGGAAATGCACCTCCAAGAGTCATCCTCCGGTATGCACATCTCTACCTACACCCTAAGCCATGTAAGTAATAATAAATCAAAAAACGTTATGAACGCGACCCGGTCCAAAGCAACTATCAACACAGACACCACACAAAACCACAGAAACCCTGAACCAAAGTCCCTGGATCGAATCCTGATGCCAAGCTCTCAACCTTACCACATCTACCTTGAACTAACTCTTTATCAGCTTACCTCAAGGCTTGCGAAATCTGGCAGCTGCTTCGGGGAGCTGTAGCTTGGCAGTAGTAACACGGCATTAAAGACCTGTAGTGGTATGCTAGCAACAGCCGCTAACTGAAGGTCGTCGAGCGACGCCCAGTCGAACTGGCTCCATAAATCCAGACCCGCTAGTTTGCCCAGTACCAGCGCCGTCGTACCGACAAGGCCGGTGTACGCCACCAGGGATGCCAGAGTGCGCTCCGCCATACCGCCGGGTCGCCTGCCTCCACCGCCGCCGCCGCCGCCGCCGCTGCTGCTGTTGTACCTGTTGTTGCTGCTACTACTGCCATCCTTTCTTTGTCGAATCGGCCGCGGGAGTAGCTTTGGGCCGTGGGACCCTAGGTGTTTGGGTTCGTTGCCGTTGTCGTGGGTAGCGAGAAGTCTGCTCTGTGGCTGGGATGCTGCCACGGGGACAGCATGGCTGAGGGTCTCACGGTCCAGGAACTCTGGGCGAATCGGTCGCGCCCCGGCAAGCGCCTGAGTGGGATATATGGGCCGGAAAATCAACGGCTGCTTGCGTTGGGTTGTGGGTGCTTTCCTTGGGCGATTGCCTGGTCAGCAATTCACCCTTACGAAATTGATTAGCTGCCCAGTCGTACAGGAGCAGTCGCTTACCCTTTGGACACATTTATAAGTTTGCAGACGAAAGGTCTGGTTAATAAAACGCGGATGCCGGCTATGGCAGTGCATGAAGACACGACTGTCGCGGCTATAAACAGGAAGGATGAATCTAATGTAAATAAATTTCGAAGCTAATCCTTAGCGGTAAGAGATTACGCCAAGACCCAGATGGATGCGAAAAGGAGCCGTTCGGATAAGTGGCTCAGACCCCTTTTCGAAAAATCTCCTACTCATACAAGCTCGAGGTTGACATCTAACCATAATCTATTGATAGATGCAAAGCAATATTCTGCCTGCACATTGTTGCAAAGGTGCTTTAGAAGTTCTTATCATCCATATCGTACGACCTTCCCCGAACTACCGCTGCATTCGTTACCGCGAGGTTTCTAATAGGCTGTTGTACTCCAACTTATTCAGCATGGTCGTGTCTCATGGACTATCTACACGCCATGTGCAAAAGTTGCACGTATAACAAGGCTGTGGACCTGTTCTTTGTGGCTGGCTCTGACTGGCTGCTACCTCCGGATCATAAAGCCCGTATGCCAATTTGAGAAAAATATAGGGTGATAGACATCAAGGATAAAGTTTCACGTGCCATTCTACTCTATTTTGGACGACTATTTACTGAGCTGAGCTGAGATATTTTGCGTTTGAGTCCTTTTAGTAAGGATATCTTACATGTTAGTAAGGATTGCAGCGCACTACCTTATAACTTGGTGCGACTTCTTCCGGGCACCGGGCGAGGACACCCCCTAAAGCTGCAACATCGGTCTCCGTAACCACCACACACACGGTCTCAGTAGGAGTCAGGGGGCTATCCGAAGCGGCCGGGCTCTCAATCGCAGGCAGGACGCTTGGGTGTTCAAGTAAACTCCGCAGCCCAACACCCGTGGAGCCAATGCCCAAGCCTTTGTACACGCCAGGTTACCGAAGACTCCCAGCGGGTTTACCTTTAACCTCACACTTCCTCTCATGGATGGTCTATCAGTCGCAGGGCGAGAATGAATTACCAGGATTGTGACTTTAATGTTAATGCTTGGCCGCGGTCCTCGGCAACGGCCACAGTCGCTGCTTTGTCCAAGACCCCACGGGACGCCAAGAACACGCAAGCAAGCACCTCACTAATGTCTTCCGCAGGACTTGAACCCAGAAATCACCCTCCAGGGCAGACATGCGGGGCCCCATGTTGCAAGGCCCTTCATACCGCCAGACTCTACCCACGAACAGAGGCTACCTACGAACCAGAACAACCAACGTTGCAACTAACTTCCGTGCTGTAGTAGCTGGCCGCGGAAAAGGCGTCTTAAGATGCTGGTGGAGCGCCTTAGCGCGTATTTGTAGACGTCACGTGTGCTGTACTGTGTACCAGCTACTTCACATGTGTGGGCAAGGAACTCCTTTTTTGTCCAACCATGCTGGCGGGAACCTGAGGCCAGCGCGCATGCCGCAACTGGCAAAAGCCGAGAAAGGCACGGCATGGAACAAGGAAAAACAGGACAGCGGCCGCAGGCACCAGGACGGTAAGGAAAGCCGGTCAGGAAAAAAAGATCTCTCGCGTACACGCACACCATTTAAAATGAGGCAGGTTTCAGTATTTGGTTTATGCAGACATAAACTTTGGGTTGAGCATCCCATCCTTGACTATCCATACTCCAGCATGGGATGTAATCTGCGCATTGAATTTGGGTCGTAAGATAGTATATCAAGGGGGGATTGGTTTCCTATCTTATCCCGACTGCCATTAATAGGATTGCTTGCAATGTGGTATCGAATTTCTGAGCTAAATCCCTGCCGGCATCCCTTCATCCGTTCCTCCTTCCCTCCCTCCTTTCCTCTATACAACCCCCCTTCATTCATACATCCACCCCTCCGTGCATCCCTCCCCTTCCCTCCCTCGTATATTCCCCCCTCCATCCCTCTATACGTCCCCCTTCATACATCCCTCCCTTTCAACCTATGGCATAAAAGGGTTGGTAACCGACCGGTTAGCTATAACCCAAATCGGTCGCTTCGGTAGGATAACCGACATTTCGAGATAACGATCCGGTAACCGACCTGTAGCTTAACCGGTCAATGACCTTACCAGTCGTTACCTTACCGACCGGTCGGTGAACACCCAGCAGGCATCAGCAAACGCTTCGGGCACTTCGGGTTGTACCGAAAGCAGAAATACAGTTGCCGAAGCCGACCCGCTTGCAGAAGTAGGACCACCCGCCTACCATCCCATACGAAAGCTCCTCTGCGGCCGGAAGGGCCGCCCGACGGCCGGAGCCGGCAGTCAATGGTGACAGGAATGGACCCGTTACCGCACCCAAAAATACTCCATTTGCCGATGTCTGCTCCAATGTAACAACTACAACTTAGCTGATGGCCCGTCAGAGGTTTGAACAAGCGGTCCGACTCCGTTCTAGACGGAGAACTCTTACACAGCAAATGCGCAATACTGCTTGATGTGGCGAAATCCACAGTTTTCTGTTACGTTGCTCCGAAGGCAGCTATGTTTTCGACTTGAGTTGTCTCCAACCGTTCTTAGCGACTGGTGCTTTTATGCTAAATAAGGAGAGGATGTTGGAGTGTTGGGGAACCCTAAGGTTTAAGATATGAAACCTGCGTCGGGAAATTTGGAAATTAGCTGTTTGGCGCGAAGTGCACAAAGCCATACTCCCCTTTGCAAAAACACTTCAAATTCATTTTGAAGCAAAATTGATAGCTGTATGAAAATATGAGCTGTTCGCTGACAGCTTTGCTCAGGCTATCACGATGCAACCAGGCGCAACGTTTGCCTCGCACACAGAATCGGAATTGAACCGCAAGGATGGTACGTTTAAGGCCGATAAGATCACCTTGGCAAAATCTTTTTCGGATGAGGCAGGTTTCGCAGCCATCATCGCAGACTCATCTTCGGGAAAGGTCAGGCCACCTTCAGATAATCGCGGCTATGGCGTTGCTGGAGCTGTGTCACAATCCACATCTACAAGTCTCGGCAACCGTGATGACGGCTTGCGTCAGGGCTGGAGCAACCCTAGCTGTGGCCCGAACCATGCTGGACAGCCCGCATATCCCCAGCAGATTCCAGCACCTTCATTGCGGGAGCAGCAACAGAATTCCGCTCCTATGCCTGCCTCCGACTTTGGCTTGATGCCCTGCGCGCTTCTGCTAGCATCCACAGCACCAGGCCAAGGCGGGCACCAGACATGTTGCCACCAGCTGCAGCAGTGGCCGACGCAAAGCCACCTCCCCCTGCAGTCCCAACGGCACATTGCCCAAAACCAACATGTTCCAGATATGCATCTCTGCCAGGTAAACAGCGTTAGTCATGGCCCGTTAGCGCCGTCAGTGACGGCGCCACCGCGGCCGCAGCTGCCGCAAGCGTCCCATTATCATTACTACAAGCACCAGCTTCAGCACCAGCACCATCAGTCAACAATTCCGCAGGAACGCCCTAACCTGCCCCAGGACCACCATAAGACCCATCAGCAACCCCAGCCTCAGATTAAAATCCAAAATCAGGTCCAAAATCAGATCCAAAATCAGAAGCAGAATCAAACGGACACAGGGCTGCCACAGCTGTCCCTGCACACACGTAACCCACCAGAATTGCATCAGTTTCCGCCTGGGTTGCGTCCACATCCTCATCAACAGCAGCAGCTACAGCATCCAAGCTCGCTGCCGCCGCCACCTCCACAGCAGCAGCAGTGGCAGCCGTCTGATTGCGCATCCAGGACGGCGGTGGCCTGCGCGCGACAGGATCAGGGCGGCCCTCAGCTGCCGCTGTACCCGCTTCTGCAGCAGCAGCACCACCACCACCAACAACAACAACAGCAACTACAACAGCACCAGCAACACGGTGGTGCCTCAGGCGCAGCAGGTAGCTGCCAACCGCAAGGAGGAGGTGTACCGGCGGCTCGTCCGAATGTCCCTTGTGAGCAGAGGTACCAGCAACAAGGGCAACAGCAGGGCCAGCAGGCGGCGCAGAACCAGCAGCAGCAGCAGCAACAGCAGCAACAGCAGCAACAGCAGCAGCAGCAGCAACAACAACAGCAACAGCAGCAGCAGCAGCAACAGCAACAACAACAGCAGCAACAACAACAGCAGCAGCAACAGCAGCAGCAGCAACAGCAACAACAGCAACAACAGCAGCAACAGCAGCAGCAGGGCCAGCAGGCGGCGCAGAACCAGCAACAGCAACAAAGGCAACAGCAGCAACAACAACAGCAGCAGGGACCGGCGTTGGGGCAGCAGCTTCAGCCGACTTACCAGCAGGCCCCGAGCAACGAAAGCAGTGACTGCACGGGAATCGCACACCAGCAGTACCCAGGGCAGCAGCAGCGCCAGCACCTGCCAGTCCAGGAGCAGGAGCAGGCGCTACTCCAGGGCTGCCAACTGGAGCCGCCTGCTTCGTGGACCTGTATCGCCGCTGGCGGCAGCGATGATAGCGCGGAGAAGTCCCACGATAGTGGTAGCGGCGGAGGCGGGGGTGCCCCAGGTAATGCGGGTTCGGGTTCCAGCGGGGACGGCGGAGGCGGAGGCAATGCTGGGCGTAGTGGTGGCGAGTCTGGAGACGGAGGATGGCCACAGGGCGGCGGTTTCGGAGCTGGCGGTTGCAGCGGAGGCGTAGGTGGCGATGACGGCGGCGGCTGGGTTACGCACGGCGGGTGCGCTGCCGGGCACGGCACGCCGGTCCGCCGCCATCAATGCAAAAACCCTGATCACGGCATGGCTGCCGCCGCCAACGCCACAGGCGCTAACGCCGTTGCCAAAGCGGACGATGATGGCGACGATGATGAGATCATCCCGACCGTGAATCCCTTCCTCCGTTTCGCTGGCAGCCCGCCGTCTTCAGGGGAGAAGCGCAGCGGCGGGGTTGGAGGTAGCGGTAGCCCGCTGAAGCGGCGGCCGCCGCAGCCGTCGCAGCAGCCGCAGGGACAGCGGTGTCTGCCACAAAGCTCGACGAGCCATGACGAGCTGCAGCAACCCCCGCCGTACCATCCGAAGCTGCCGCGGCCAGCATGGCCTCCGCCACCGCCGGCGGCAGCAGCCGCGGTGTCAAGGTCATTAGCGGTGCCAGTAGCAGCAGTAGCACAATCCCAGCTTCTGGGGGGTCAGCGGTACGCTTCGCCCTCGGTCTCATGCGTTGCGTATCCCCCACTTACGGCGGCGACAGATGGGGCGGCGGCAGGGGCGGCGGCAGGGGCGGCGACGGCGGCGACAGGCGCGACGACGGCGGCGCCAGCGATGGGTTGCTGCGGCAGCAGCAATGATGGCGAAGGGGGACGTGGTCATGCACCGGAACACCATATGTCATCGCATCCGCCGCTACCGCCACCGCAACAGCAGCAGCAGCAATATCGACATCAAGACCTCCCATATCAGCAGAGGCATGGCCAGGAATGGCATCAGCAGGCTTGGCAACAACAGCCGCAACAGTCACACCTGTATGCGCCGCCTCCATCGGCGCCACAGCCGCCGGACCGCCGAATCCCGGATGCCGTCCAGAGTTCTGGGGCGCCGCTGCAACGTTACACCCACCATCATCAACACCATCACCAGCAACAACAGCAGCAGCAACACCATCACCAGCAGCAACAGCAGCAGCAACAGCAGCAGCAACAGCAGCAACAACAGCAGCGACAGCAGCAGCAGCAACAACAGAACGGAAGGCAATCACTGCAACCACAACCAACAGCACACAACCAACAACAACATAAACATGGCCACTACCCATTCCAGCACCACCCGCACCAACAGCAGTATCTTCACCACCACCAGCAACAGCAGCAGATGCGAATTCAATATCAGGGGACTTCGTACCGCGCCAGGCCGTCTGAAGGTGCATGTTTGGATGGTGCTAGCACCTTCCGCAACAGTGGCTGCAGCGGCGGCGGCGGCGGCGGTGGAAGCGGCGGGCCTCAAAATGCTGGCGGCAGTGCAACCCTGCTGCCGCCCGGAGAAGAACCGGAGGCTTGTGGACGATGTCCGTACGACAGGTGAAGTGGAGGAGTCGAGGGACCTGTCGTGCAGTGCCGTACTACTTCAAATATTTAAATCTTTCTCGCGTGACGGTCAGGCCAGTTGCCTGCAGAAGTGATCGACCTTGATCGGCCACGTGACCCTAAGCCTTCAGCCCCGACCTGACCGGTTGACTCGGTTTCCGAATGAAGGTCCTGTTTACTTATTTGAGTAGTTCTGAACCGCCTGCAACCTGTCGTACAGGTGTCCAGGCGTCTATCAGCCTTGTAACGCTGCGCTCGTCTGGATTTGGCCGCCTGCATTCCTTCAGCAACACTGGAAGCAACAACAACAACAACAACAACAACAGCAGCAGCAATACTACCACCACCAGCCAGGTGGCAGCGGAGGCGGTCCTCCGGCGGCGGCGGCGCCGCCGCCGCCGCCGCAACCGGCGCTGTACGAGCCGCTGGGTTACTGGCGCTGCTGCCGCTACCCGGATTGCGGCTGGCGATACTACCCCCACCCCCGTCTACGAGACCCCGTGATGTCGCTGGAGATTGTGGGGGACAATGTATTTAAGGTGAGCGTGATGGGGTGGATTGGTCTATGGCTTTCTCGCGCGAGTGGTGGTTTCGGAGGCGCTAGTGTGTAGCCGCCGCTTAGCAAAGCGTTTTTTAGAGCTTTAGAGCTGTAACGCGAGGGACTTTGATAGTGAGGGGCACGGATTGGGGATTTAGGACGTGGGAGTGGGCGGGTTGTTGTGGGGTTGAAAGGCATGCGAGGAGAAGGGGACGGAATCCGCCTGTGGACTTTGCCGTTACGGGTTAAGGTAACCACATCCAGGCGGGTTACGACGATGCACAGACGATTGACGAAAAGAACCACCCAAACGGGAGGGCAGAGAGTAATGTTTGACAGAAATATGTTTCTTAAATGTCATTAGTGACTTAAGGAAAAGGACATGAAGAGATTGAGGGGTGAGGTGTATTTTTTTGGGGGGGGGGCCCGTCTGTCTCGTCCCAGGTGGTACCCTTCCCTGGAGCGGAGGATGCGGTGGCGGCTGCCGGCGGCGTGGCGTGTGTGCTGGCGGGTGCTGGACTGGACCTCAGCACAGCCCTGACGCCTGCTCAGGCGAGTTCGTTGCTAGCATGTGGCGGCGGCGGTGGCGGCCGCGGTGGCGGCGGCGGCAGTGGCGGTGGCGGCGCCGGAGGTCCAGGAGGTCCAGGGGTGCACCCCAGCGGCGGTAGCGACTTGACAGGTGCTGCGACGGCGGCGACCGAGGCGGCGGAAGCGTCCTACTTAAAAGCGGAGGAGAAAGGCGGTAGTACGGCACAGCCGGCGGCGATGTCGGGCCTGTTAGACGCAGCGGAAGACTTTGACGTGAGGTGGTGTGGGAGTTGTGCGGGGGGGCGCGGGGTGTTTTGCTGGAGGGAGGGGTTGGGGGGAGGAGGGGGCGGCTCCTCTCAAGCGTCTCAGGAAAAGATGGCGCGCTGCGTGCAAGTAAAATCTTCCTTATACACGATGCCCCTCCTTACCCCCCTTTCTTTGCAGCAGCTTTACGTTCGTGGTTCGTCTTTCCCCCTTCTCATCTGCGGTTGGTTTTTTTACTTCACCCCTGCGTATTTGTATTACCTCCTTCCCTTTCCCTTCCCTTTCCGGTCCCCTGACCCTTTCATAGATTCCCCTCCCGTTCGCGCTCCTGTGTTCACTCCTCCCGCTCCCCTCCCCCTTCACTGTTTGCATGCGAACCTTTCCCCCTCCCCTTCCCGCCTCACCTTCCCCTACCGCTCTCTTTTCCCTCCTCCGTGGACTGAATCTGGACGTTCCCCCCCTCCTCCCTGGACTGAATCTGGACTGTGCCAGGACTCCGCGCTGTTCTTCCCCCTGGACTGCTACGAGAGGTTGTTGGCCCCGCTGCCGCCGCACTCCTCGCTCTTTAACGCGGGATCTCTCATTCCGGAGCCAGTGAGACGAGCGTACAGGTACGGAGGGCCCCGTGCGGCCGCCGCCCGTGTAAGGAGTTGTGAAGGAGTTGTGTGGACGTGACGTTCAGTGCCCTCCGAGTAAGCCTGCGTCGGTCACCTGCTGGTGTTGTTGATGTTGATTGTGTTGCTGGGTTGATCGCTCCGTGAAGTCTTGCCCCGATTTTGGCCTTTGGCCTCCCACACCTTACCTCAAACCGCCACAACTTCCTCGTCGCGGCTGCCAGCCAAAGCCACCGCACTCTCCGGTGCACTTTCATCTTCCTCCCCGTGCCGTCCTTCACCACACCTCTTCACAGCGAGTATTAACTTTATCCGAAACCCCACTTTATTCACTCACCGCAGCGGGGGCTCAATCCAGCCCAGCGGAATTGTGCACGCATTTTACTATGCTTGTAGTTCGTAGTTAAGGCGTAAGAAAAGCCAGCCACCGGCCGAAGATACACAAATTACGTCGTTGTTGTGGCTCAACGAAGTTCTACTACTGACTTCACCGACCTTGCCTACCTCACCTTTCTCTGGTCCTTCAGGGGTTGCCTCCGAGAACGCGCGCCACCGGAGGAGGTGGCTGCACGGTTACGTCGCATGCCCCCCTCGCTGCGGTCCGCACTGATGCCCTTTCAGCTCCAGGGAGTGCAATACGGCCTGGAGAGGTACGGCAGGTGCCTCATCGCTGATGAAATGGGGGTGGGCAAAACAGTACAGGCGATAGCGCTGGCGGCATGCTATGAGGTGAGCGACGGGTTTCGGGGCCGGCGACGGGTTTCTTTCTCGGGTCAGTTTGCCTGGTGTGTCAAGCGCGTTTCGACAAGGTTGCCTGGTTGCAACGTAATATGTTTCATGCATATCGTCACGCTGCGAGTTAGTTAGTTAGTTAGTTATCATTATGAACGTATTCGCCATGCGGCCTATGTATCTGCGGTGACGTGCCACCTTCAGTCGTGTCACTGTGTCGTACCTGTACGACGGCTCAACATGGTACGGCATTTCCTGCAGGATGAGTGGCCGTTGCTGTGCATCGTACCTGCCAGTTTGCGTCTGGTTTGGGCGGAGGAGCTGGAGAAGTGGATGCCGCATCTTAGGTACCGACGGGGCCAGCAATATGCACATAGATATACAGGCATACAGACATACGGACATACAGACATACGGTTGCCATCCTGGTGAGCTGCCACCAGCTGTGTAAAGCTCACAAGCCAAACGATATATACGACGGAGGGTTACCCTCATGATGGGACCTGTGCACCCGGTAGCGCCGACTCGCACGTTTGTTACCGTTGGTACCGTTGTTACAAGCTGCTTCTACTTTGCTGCTGCTGCCCAACTCGGCCCTGGTGTACGACTGTATGTACATTCCCGTACTCCTCACCATCATCTTCCCCGTGTACCCTCAGGCCCAGCCTCATTCACGTGATTGAGGGGAAGGCGGACCGGCTCACGGGGCGGATATCAAGGGGGCAGGTGCGGCTTTTGTTGAGGCTTTGAGGTTAGGATGGGAAAAGAAAGGTTTGGAAGTTAGACTTACGACTATTGGATCTGCTGTTTTGAAGTCCTTGTTGTGCTCGTCGTTGTTGTGCTCATCTACTTGCCATTGCTACTCCATTGTTGTTGCCGGTAAAGTCGCTACTGCGGCGAGTACTGTCGTTACGCGGCTTCTCCTTCTCCTCCTTCTTCTTCTTCTTCCTGCTGCTGCTGTTGTTGTTGTTGTTGTTGTTGTTGTTGTTGTTGTTGTTGTTGTTGTTGTTGTGACAATGATGGCGCTCTTGGCGATGCTGGATGAATGGAGGTAGCGGAAAGGGTGGTACGAAAATGCTGGGGTTCGTGCGTCGTGAGCCACACCACCACCTCGCTCTTGACTGAACCGATGATTGCGGTTTGGTGACTGGTGCTGGTGCTGGTGCGGGTGCGGGTGCTGGTGCGGGTGCGGGTGCTGGTGCGGGTGCGGGTGCTGGTGCTGGTGCTGGTGCTGGTGCTGGTGCGGGTGCGGATGCGGGTGCGGGTGCGGGTGCGGGTGCTGGTGCTGGTGCTGGTGCGGGTGCGGATGCGGGTGCGGGTGCGGGTGCGGGTGCGGGTGCGGGTGCGGGTGCGGGTGCGGGTGCGGGTGCGGGTGCGGGTGCGGGTGCGGGTGCTGGTGCGGGTGCGGGTGCTGGTGCGGGTGCGGGTGCGGGTGCGGGTGCGGGTGCTGGTGCTGGTGCTGGTGCTGGTGCTGGTGCGGGTGCGGATGCGGGTGCGGGTGCGGGTGCGGGTGCGGGTGCGGGTGCGGGTGCTGGTGCTGGTGCTGGTGCGGGTGCGGATGCGGGTGCGGGTGCGGGTGCGGGTGCGGGTGCGGTGGTTAATTAGCTCGGGGTGGTGATTCTGCTGCGAACTACAGGTGTTGCCGCGGATTACCATCACCAGCTACGAAATGATGCGACGGCTCACGTGCCCCGTCTGCTCCAAGACAAAGATGGTGCCGCCACCGCCGGCGGAGGCGCCCGGTGGCAAAACAGCGGCGGGCGGCAGCGCCGCCGCCGCCGCCGCCGCTGGCGGCGGCAGTGGACGGAGCGCTGGCGGCGGCGGCGGCGGCAGCGGCGGCGGCAAGGCAGTTTGCTGGGGGCCTGGTAAGAGCGTGACGGAACGCAGAGGGGCAGATGTAGTCGTCGAGGCGGCGGATCCCTTCATCAGATCAGATCACCTGTTCAAATCCCATTGCGGTCGTTACTACGCGCTGCATGGGCTACGAGGGCCGGGGCACAGCCATTACTTGTCCGGCCATGCTGCCTGTCCTTTCCTTCCCCCCCTTCCCTTCCTTTGGACGTGCCAGCTAGTAACTCACCCGTCTCGCAACCCCGCTATGGCCACCTCGCCGCAATGACTACTACACAAGTCATCACTGGTCAGCAAATATTCAGAAATATATTCAGAAATTGTCTTCTCCTGGACTATCTGTCCATCTCTGGTATCTGCTTCATTCGCCAGTGATTCGTCTTACCCCCCTTCCTTTCTGCCCACAGCGCCTTTCGATCCTCCCCTCCGGGAGATAGAACCGCACCCCGCGCGGGGTGCGTCGTCAACCCCCCATAAGCCCGTGGTGCTGCAATGCCAGACATCTACGACACAAATAGTAACGACTCCCCCTTTCCCGCGCTGCCATGCCCGTCCGAACACACCCTAACCTCCCCCCCTGTCTAATCCTGGAATATCTGGAATCTTCCCAGGTATCTGCTTCAATCGTCCGTGGTTTGTCGTAGCCTCCTCTCTCTGCTTTGCCACGTAGTCACACGTCCCGTGTGGAGTTCAGTGGAGTCGTGAATTCATGTATCTATCTATCTATCCATCTATCTATCTATCCATCCATCTATCCATCTATCTATCTATCTATCTATCTATCTATCTATCTATCTATCCATCCATCTATCTATCTATCCATCCATCTATTAAACGCACACCCTCTCTCGCTATTTCTTTCCTTCATTCCGCCATCCAGACCGTTGCATGGCAGCCATGCCCTGGGGTATGGTCATCGTAGACGAGTCTCACAACCTGAGAACCACCAACTCCAGGGAGGCCGACTCACCCCACACGGAGGCGTGTGTGACGGCGGTGGCACGCGCGCGGCGCGCCGTACTGCTGTCCGGCACACCGAGCCTGTCCCGACCGTACGACCTTTACCGTCAGGTACCGCATTAATGTACGACGCGCAAAAAAAAGTAGTCGGTCCGTCGTTTTCGCGTGCATGCTGTCATGTTGCGCTGTGTGCGTGCGTGTGTGCGTGAATGTTGGGGCATGTGGAGATGTTTTTTTGTTGTGAGCGTCCCGGACCGTACCATGCCGTACGTGCGATCTTCACGACGCGCCAGGTGGATGCGCTACAGCCTGGGATCGTGGGCGCCAGCAAACAAGCCTTCGCGTTCCGCTACTGCGACGGCCGAATGGTGCCGTACCGCATCACACCGAACGCCGCCAAGCCCTTCCGCGGCGGAGGCGGAGGAGGAGGCGCCGAGGCCGACGCGCCGGCGGCAGCGGCAGCGGCGACGATGATGATGCCCCCGCGGAAGCGCCTGGAGACGTCTGGTGGGGCATAAAGATGTGCGCTGTGTGTGTGTGTATAGGGCCCTGTATCTGGTGGGAATGGCTGGGTATGTATGTCCGTATGTGTGTGTGATATGGGTGTGTGTGTCTTTGGCTGTACATTCGACGTTGTGTATGAAATCTGTTGCGCCGTACATTTGCGGATGCGTCGTACATCGTCTTGTGGGTGTGCCTGTTTCCGTGCTCCCCCTCATGAACAGCACACTTTTAGGTTTATCTTCCGGTTGCTGGTTCGTATGATATGTCGTACGTTCTGTAACGGCTGCGCTGCTCTCTGATCCTTTCGTACGGCGTTGTTACGGCAGGCGGCAGCCGGCTGTACGAATTGCACGGCCTGCTGACGCGGGAGGTTATGATTCGACGGTTGAAGCGCGACATCATGGCGCAGCTGCCGCCCAAACGGCGTCAAGTCGTACGGCTGCCGTACCCCAAAAGGTATGTTGTACCATGTACGATGTACGATGTACAATGTTTTTATTGTCTATTGTGATTCCCTGTCTCTTTCTGAGGCTAACATACACACACAGATAGTGTTACTACGGTTACTACTGTACGATCCATTATCGTCGTACACACGTAGCCACTCCATGTCGGCGTCGCTAGGGCTTCCTCCCCCCCCCTTCAATCGCGTGCGGTTCGTCTTTCCCCCCCCTCCCAAGTCGGTCAGTTCTATACGTCTGGTACACTCTTGCCCTGGCAGCAGCTTGCATCACTCGTTCACGTGGTTCGTCCTTCCCCCCTTAGTCGGTGCGCATCTCTTCGTCTCATCCTCAATGTCAACACCCTAAGCCACTGCTACGGCAACCGCCACTGCCGCCGTGATGTCTTAACAGCTGGCCAGGTGCGGCACCCAAAGCACCGCCACCACCACAGCCACCGCCACAAACGGATCCCGCTCCGGAACCGTCAAACATTAGCGGCAGCGGCGATGGCGGCGGCGGCGGCGGCCGGGACAGTGAGCGAGGCCGCGGCCGCGGCGGTGCCGGCAGCGGAGACGGCGCGGGCAAGAGGGTGGCGGCGGCGGCAGCGGCGCGCGGACAGGCGGCGAAGCGGCCGCGGCGCAACGGTAAGGTTGGTGCCGCCGCCGCCACCGCTGCCGGCGCCAGCGATAACCGCGCCGCTGCCGCCACTACCAGCCAGCAGAACGGCGGCGATATGTACGAGAATGATGACGACGACGATGACGCCGCGGATGGTGACGGAGGCGGCAATGGAGAGGAGGTGGAGGACCTCGCTGGGCAGGGCTATGAGGATGAGGATGAGAATGACGGGGATACGGACGAGGACGGCGGTACGGCCAACGGTGGGTCGTCGATGGCCTTAGTCGCTTTCCCTGCATCTGCTCTATCTCCATTTTCTGACATTTCCTGGCGGGCTGTGTTTACATGTGTTTATTGCAGTGTAATTACCCTCGACGAGAGCTAGGTTAGTTCATGAATGCATTTATATTTTGTCTTCTTCTAATAAATCTTGTAAACATTGTTAGCAATATGGTTTGAAAGATCTCAACGTACTTTCCTTTTGCAGTACCGGCCAAGGCAGCCGCAGGCGTCGGCGACGGTGGTGCTGACGTCACTACCAACGGAAACGGCAACCAACAGCAACCGCTAGGGGTCAAGACAGAGAATGGATCATCGACCCATGGGTCCAGTAATATGTCCAGTGCCCATCGTACGGCACTCGCGAAGCTTCCAGATGCCATCAGTTGGCTGATCGGGGCGCTAGGTGGCGGCGGCGTGGTTTCGGAGGGAAGCAACGGCAGGTGGGGAAAAATGTTTGTGGGACACAGCGTTGGAGAGGACGGGAAGGCAGGGCTAGGGCCCGAGAAGAAAAGAGGCCGCGGCTGCTTTTGTGGTTTGGAGTGTGCTTTTGGATGGCATGTATTTATTTGGGTTCGGCATGTATGACTTGGATTACACTGTGGGCCGCGAGAGCCGGGGGCCGAAGCCGAAACACAGCGCAAGGGTCTGAGCACACAGCACAAGTCGGTTAGTCTTGTGTGCTCCCGACCCCGACTCAGACTGCCAACACTCTACGCAGCCACTCCACAGCACCTCCGTCTGGAGATGGCGCTGCAGTGAAAATACCACGACGTGCTCCCAGGTCCCGCTAGAGCCAGTCCACAAGTCTCAGCTAGGGCAAAGTCAAAGGCTCTCTGAAACAACCCCCCAAAACACAACCAGCGACACAGGGAAGAAAAACCCGAACAGTGTATGTATGTATGTATGTATGTATGTATGTACGGATAAGCCTACAGGTACTGCGCATCGTATGTGCCCCCACTAGTCTCCATATCGTATCTTTGTATGTATGTATGTGTGTATGTATTTACGTATGTGTATGTATTACTCTTAGCCACATGTGTGCCCGCGTGTATATGGTGGTCGGTGGGTGGGTGGAAGCGCATGCCTGTGTTTTGTTTTCGTGTTTATTCATATATGTAGTCTGCTATATCCAATTGTTGCACTTCAAACCGAATATCTTAATGACCAATATCTACAGGGCCAGAGGCGGGCCTGGCCAACGTAAGCCTACGAAACCCACAGCTACAGCCGCAGCCACCGGAGGTTACAGCCGATATCAGACTGGTGCTACAGCTACAGGAACTGCTGGTGTCGCCGACGGCGGCGGCGGCGGCGGCGGCGGCGGCGGCGGCGGCGGCGGCGGGGTGCTGTCACCCCACGACCAGCTGCCCAAGTTCTTGGTGTTCGCCCATCACAGGTGCGCGGCTAGCTGGCTGGCTGGCTGGCTGGCTGGCTGGGGCCTGGGTGGATGGATGGCTGGGTGCAAAGTTGGCGGCTCAAGGCGTCTGAACACGCAACATTTCTCGCTCTTTCCATTTCGTTCTCGATGTTGCGCTCTCCACCCCATAACACACCATCTGTGCCTTACCTGACATGTTCTTTCCCACACTCATGCGGCCGCCCGCTTGCCTCATTTCCCATCGCCCATTGTTTCCTCTCCCTTTTCTATCTTCTCTTGTCGTGCCCTTCCTCACTTCCTCCCTCACTTGCTCCCTCGCTTCCTTTTTATGAACCGCTGCATACCTGCCGGCATCCAACTGCATCCCTTTGCAGCTGCCTCCATCCGTCCACTCATTAACTCGTACATTTATTCGTACACTTGCTTGTATCGTTCACTCTCTTTAAAGGGATGTTATGGACCGATTAGCGGAGGCGTTACAGGGCTTTGACGGGGCCGTAGGAAGCAGCGGCGCCGACGGGGGCGGCGGCAGCGGCGGGGGGGACGACGATGATGGTGGAGTTGGTGGCGGCGGTGCCGGCGGCGGTGCGGTATGGCAGGGGGTCAACTACGTCCGCATCGACGGCAGCCACGACAGCGGCGAGCGGCGGACGGCGGTGATGCGTTTCCGGTGAGGTGGCCTAACTAGGCTATAAACGCACCGCACCGCGTTTGTTTTGGCCACACATCCTGTGTTTAGCCTCGGGGGGCCAAAGCTTGTTTGAATGCCGTTTAAAAATAAGCAAGTGTTCGCGGCTTGCGCGTATGGATTACCGCATGTCACCGTGTACGTATGTATGTATGTATAAGGCCTCTGCTTCTTCGTCTGCTCTGGTTGTTCGCCTGCCTTTATTCCAACGGCTCGGTTTATATTTTGCTATACCCGCGGTTAGCAACGCAACTCCAGGTTTAACACACACACACACAGACACACACAGACACACACACATACAGACACACACAGACACACACACACAGTCAGACAGACACACACACACATACACAACGTCAGGCCCGGTCAGATACTTGTAGCCTTCGCACACAGAGCACACACACACAGACAGATTTCTGTCTACCCAGCACCCACATACAGACATACAGACATACCCGCATACCGACATACAAACATATCGCCACAGGGACGATCCTACCGTGCGTGTAGCTCTGCTGTCCATCACCGCCGCCGCCGTGGGACTTGACTTCAGCGCCGCCTCTGCCGTCGTGTTTGTAGAGCTGCCCAACGAGGTACGGATGCCGTACTACTGTCGTGCTCCATTCCGTTATACGTTATACAGTCCGTTGTACAACAATAGCACCGATCTCGCGCCCATGATGGAGTGTGTATGAGTTATTGCCGTCCTCTCCATCATCGTCCCCCACGCCTTCCCATATATGCATGCATGCGTACATACATACGTACGTACCTGCGTACATACATGCGTACATACATGCGTACATACATACGTACGTACGCACTCGCAGGTCTCCCTGCTTCAACAGGCGGAGGACCGAGCTCATCGCAAGGGTCAGGCACACACGTGCGTCAACGTCTACTTCCTGTGTGCCAAGGGAACCTGTGACGACAAACGGTGTGTGTGTGGGGGGGGGGTTCATGGCAAAAAGGGAAGGGAGCGGGTAGGACCATGGTTTCTCGGAGGTTGGTGGGAGGGAATACACGACAGAGTTGCGAGGAGGATGTGTGCTGGGAAGGGGCAGCGGCAGCGGCAGTGGCAGGATGTATAGGGCTATATCCAGGGTTCGACACTGACCTTCCTGAAACTTGCGGGATCCCCCGTACCTCCCAAATTTTCCTTACGGAGGGGCCCCCGTACCAGGCTCCTGTACTGGCCGAAAACCTTACGGGGGCCCCCGTAACCCCGCAAAACCTTTACGGGGACACTGTCCTTGGCTGAAACGCTGTGGAAAGTGACGCTTTGCATTTTTTTGCCCTGTAAATCGTTATTTTTGTTATTTTCCCGTGAACCATTACACACGGGGACACGGCACACTCAGCGAAAGCCAAGCGCCTTGGCCGCCGCGGCCGCCCATCCCTTCTGCTCCTCTTTCTCGTCCTCCTCATCATCAAAATCCTCATCCACGCACGACTCATCGGTATCTCGTTCTACGTCGGTCTAGTAGTCACTGTCACTAAAAGCCTCATCGTCACTAGCGGGGTATGTTGCTTGTACCAGTACTTCAATCTCTGGGTCAGTCGCAACCTCCTCATTATCATCCTCTCCGTATGGATTCAAATTATTTTGGCCAACGTCAGAAAACAACTTGTGAATAATGCCTGTATAACCCTTACGCGAGTAGATCTCAGCAGCCTAATCAATCAGTGGCTTCGCCCCGGTATCAGCAGCAGGTCCCAACATCCCCACACGAAGTAGTGAATCAAGTGTGTGGCCTTATCCTTTATATGGTCCGTCCTCTCCCCTACAGGGCCCCGTACGGCCTCTTATAAATCCTTAAAATCCTTACGGGAGCCACCGTAACCGGCCTTCGGCCGGTCCGGGGGCGGCCCCGTACGGGGCGCTTCGCGCCCCAAAATCCTTACGGGAGCCACCGAAAAGTCCTACGGGCCCTGACGGGGATACCGAAAAAAGGCCAAAAACTTACGGGCCCCGTACGGGGTGTCGAACACTGGCTATATCCCTCTCCCAGGGTATATCGCAATCAAAAAAGGAAATCTTCGGGTTATTGCAGGGGAGGGATTATTAAAGGACGTGGTTGGGATTGAGGCCCAAGTACGTGTATTGATGTGGTGGGATGTGGTGGCTGATGAGGCGACTGCTGAGGCGACTGCTGGGTCGAGGATTGTATGTTCTAACATTCAACAGGAGAAAAGAAAAGGAAGATATGTCGAAACTAATTGAGCTGCCCCAGACTTGTATGCCGTAGCAGTACACGTATGTGTGTATCCTGCACGGGCATGACGTCACCATCTCGTGAGCATGCCGTACGGCTAAAGTGCGGCTGGGCCACTACTGCCCTATCTTGTTGATGTTGACTTGCATTTTCCTGCTGCCGTACACTCCCATGCTCCTATTGAGGCCTTTTTGTTGGACTTGCTCCCACTGCCGGCCCCCCGGTGCTGCTGCCCCTGCCCTGTCCTGGCTACTGCTACTGCCACTGAAAACTGCTGTTCCTGCTGCTGCTTCTGCTACTGCTGCCGCTACTCTGCTGCTACTGCTGCCGCTACTCTGCTGCTACTGCTGCTGCTGCTACTGCTGCTGCTGCTACTGCTGCTGCTGGTACGGCTACTATGAAGATGGCAGAAGCTGAACGAGTCGCTGAACAACCTTACACAGGTATCCCCCCGCGGGCCCTATGGGGTTGAATATTCGTCATTTGGAGGTCGGCGGTTTTAACGGAGTTGAAGGCCCCTTAATGCTTCTTAGGGTGCTCTTGGGGGGGTTCGTGTTGCCGTACGATACAGGTTTACAGTTGGTACGGCAATTGCTGGGCGGTACAGGCGGTAAAAGAGGAGCCGTTTTGGCTCTTTGCCCGAGTGATGGTGGTGCAGCTGATGACTTGGTGTGGCAGCTGATGTGATTAGTGTCTGTTCATCCATGCGCGCTTTGGGGGAGATTAATATTGAAAGGAGAGGGTGATTTGGGGTTTAAGGGAGAGGGTAATTTTGGCAAGGCAAGGACGGCGAAAATTGGTGGTAGGATGAATTGCAGGCTAGCGCTATCAGGCATGAAGAGGAGCGTGAGGAAGGCGGTTTATTCCTGATGCTGCAAGTTTGATGTATTTATGAAACCCCATTTGGGGCAATGTTCGAGCAAGTGTTCACGCAAGTGTCATTTTTGGTTTTGGTGTTCAGGTGCACGATGGATCTGAAGCGAGTGCGGTCGCCGCCGCCGCCGGCCCTGCTGCTGCCGCCGCCGCCGCCGCCGCCGCTGGCGGCGGCCCCGTCACGGGTCTGGCCGTGGATGCGGTGGTGGATCTAGAGCTACAGCAGCAGGTGGACGAGCAGCTTCCGGGACCGTCAAACGCGGCGCTGGTGGCGGGTACGGTTGCACGTGGCGGTTTCGGAGGTGCAGGTGGCCCTTCAGGAGTAGACTCTAGTAGTAGAGCGCTGGCACTGGCAATGACGGCATGTGTAGAGGAGGCGATGCCGCAGCCATCGGATTTGCAAAGTGCCGGCGAAGATGCGGCCAAGGCTTCCAAGGCGGCGGTTTCGGAGGCCGGCGACGGTGGCCGCTTAGACATTGCCAATGGCGAAGAACGGGTGGCGGCTGGGGGTTTGAATCAGCAGCTCGCGCCGGCGGGGACGGCGGCGGCGGCGGCGGCGGCATTGGAGATGCGGCCATCGCAACTACCGGCGCCGCTTTCTCAGCAGCTGCTGTACGACTCTGGGATGGTCCCAATGACCCCTGGGTCGATTGCCATGACGCCAAGCCGCGCGGCGCTGCTGCAGATGCTCCCTGCGTCCACAACCTTTTACTTTGAGGTATTGTCTACATACAAATTGTCTACATACAAGATACATTAAATAACTATAAATCAGATATAGATAATAGGAGGTACGACAGGTGACGAAACGGGGTGGGGCATGGTGATTGCAGCGTCAGGATTCAGCCCTTTATGTATGTATGTATGTCGTGTCTGTTTCTAGACGTGTGCGGCTGGCGTGTACGTGTACGTCTACGTGTACGGCAAAAAAAGAAGTGTCGTATTATTACTAAGGTACTCCCTTGTAGTGTTGGTTGCCCCGTTTCAATTGGCGGTCGACCTCGAATGCCCACCTCATTCAGCACACGACAATTTAAAGTCAACAAATTAAACTAACCAAGCCAAGCTAACCAACAAACGTTCTAACAGCTGCTTTCTAACTGCTGCTTGATTACCCCTCCATCTCCTTCCTATAGGTGAGCTGCCACACGAGCCGCGTGCACCTCCATCTGGCACCCGATGGCAGCCGACCCGTGGGTCTCTCCCTGCCAGTAGAGCTGCTCCGAAACCACCCACAAAGCGCCATGCTGAAGTCCATCTTGGATGAACACGCCGCCAGATGGGCGCGGGAGCGGCTGACGGCGGCGGCGAACCGGCGGCAACGCCGGCAGGAGTTACAGCCGCCGGCGACGGCGGTGGCAGCGCTGCCAAGTACGGCGGCCGTGGCGGTGGAGTTGTTGCCTCCGAAGGCCAGCGTGTTACCTTGTGCCCCGTCCGCGCCGCTAGCTCAGGCGGAGGTGCCATGTGGTGACGCGGCGGCGGCGGCGGCGGCCGAGTGTCCGAGCTGTGCTACAGGAACCGTCGGAGCCGCCGACACCGACGCCAACGCCGTCGCTGCAGCAGCAGCAGCGCGGTCGGACTTACCGCTAGCGCCAGTCCAAGACCCGGTGCCTCTGCAAGGCCGCCTGCGCTGCGACGAGGCTACTGCCGGCTGTGTCCTTGCTACTGCCGGCGGCGACGGCGATAGTGGCGGTGATGATAGTGGTAATGGTGAGCAAGACGACGGCGGCCGAGCAGCGCGACTTAGCTTTGTGGGCCCGGTGGGGTTAGTGGCGCCGCTACCCTCCTTGTCGCCTGTCCAGCTGGCGGAAGGCGTGGCGGAGGCCGCGGCGTTCGTACGTGACTGGTGCGAGCTGCGTGCCGTTTCGCGTAACCGTCTGTACGGCGCCGTACTAGAGCGATACTTTCAGGACGCGCTGGAAGCAGTTACCAGTGAGGCAGTAGCTGCGGGCGCGTACGGCACCAGTACGACGCGGTACGTGCAGGGCGCTCCAGTCAAAGTACCGGAGGGTGCAACGCTGCATCCTGTGCAGGTACGGACGGAGGCTAGGTACGGCAACGCCGCTGGCAACGGGTCGTCAGGCGGCGGCGGCGGCGGCAGCGGCGATAGCTCCTCTGGTTGGCGCACGTACCAACAGGCGTTTCTGTTAGATGGTCGTGTACGGCTGTGCCTCAACTGCGGTAAACCCGTGCAAGACGCCGCCGGGTGAGTGGGCGGTAGTGCATGGAGGGGTGGAGGGAGGGAGGGAGGGAGGGAGGGAGGGAGGGGGGGAGGGAGGGGGGAAGGTGCCCGGGACAGGCAATGGCGGTGCCGTCCGAGAACACAGCTGGGATGGGGTCAGCGTTACAGTTGCGTTAGGGGTTAGGTTAGGGTTGCGTTTGTTCCCCTCCCTTCATAGATTCCGTTAATGAAGCCCGGTTGGACCGTTAATGAAGCCACGACGACGTCTCTAGGCACTCGGTTCGGAGTTGTGTACGTCTGTAGCTAGGAAAGGCTAGGAGAGGCGGCGGCAGGGCGGAAGGGCGGCAGTGCGTAGAGGGGCATCCCCCCCCAGGAGAGAAATCCAAACCTATTTGCGGATGCCGCGTTTATGCTTCCCATATTCCCACTATCATATTTTCTCGCAGAGGACATTTCCCACTTCTGAGGTCTGATATCAGTTCAGAGCTCTTAGACAAGGCGTGTTCCTTGTATAGCCTTGTAGTAGCTCCGCTCCCCTCCTTTCCTCTCTTCTCCACTATGGCCCTCCGCCCCTCCCTTACTCCTGTCCTAACTCCTCCTTACCGCCGCCGCCGCGATCTTCCACGGCTGCTGCTGCTGCTGCTGTTGCTGCTGCTGCTGCTTTCCCGCTCCATCTCTCCACACACATACACACACACGCGCGCAGTCTGCCCGCCAGCACGCCTCTGATGACGACGGACCTCCTCTTTTGCGACCCTCACTGCGAGACCGCGTACTTTGTGAAGGTGAGGATGAGGGAGAGGGAAGGGGGCCAGACGTGGGGGCCCCCTTGGTCTTTGGACTTAGGGTGAGAGCTGGCAGGGGGGGGGCTGGGTGGGCTGGGACAGGACCCTGCGGGAGAGAGAGAAGGGGGGATGGGGGACACGGACGGCGTGAGGTGTTGGGGCCTGGGTCACACACGTGTGCCACGCCGGAACTTCGAGAAAATCGAGAAAACAAAATCCGGGAAAGGAAATCTGAAGTGTCTCATCTGGGTGTGTTTGCTGAGATGTTCTCATGTTGCCCCCACCCCTACTCCCTACACCCCCCTCCTTTCTGACGGACCTTCTCCCCGCCCCCCGGCCTTCAGCCTCCTAACCGGCCCACCCACTTGCTGTAGCTGTAGCCGTAGCTCTAGCTGTCCCTTCCCTCGTCCCGCTCCCTTAGTTTTATCCCGAGCCCGTGGAGCCCTGGAAACCCCCGGGGTCGTTTCCCTTTTCCCCCCCCATACACATACACACACGCAGGCGAGTGGCGGCGCGCTGCGCCGTACATTGGCTCGCTTGGAGCACGGGGTGTGCCAGATGTGCGGACTGGACTGCGCCAACCTTGTACGGCAACTGCAGGTAGGTGCCGTAGGATGTGTGTGTGCGTGTCTGTGTGTCTGTGTGTCTGCCTCTCTGTTTTAGTGTGCGTGCGAGTACGTGCCTTGTGTGAGAGTATGTCCCACGTGTCTGGTTCTGTCCTTTTGTTGCTGTGTGTGAGATTATTATTTATATATTAAGACTGCGAAATAGAACACCGAAAGGAAGGCATGCTGAGAAGCTTGATATTCGACGCCCCTCCCTGGCCTTTTGACACTCGTGCCCCCACCTTATCACACCATTTTCTGGCTCCTTACGTTCCGAAGACCATCCGAGCCACCTCACGCGACTTCCTGGCCAAGCGACGTGCCGTAGTAGAGCGCCTGGCGCCTCGCCTCACCCGCCACGGCTACACGACCCACCTGGAACGGCTGTTGCGGCAGGCGACTGAGGGCCTCGCTTGGCAGGCGGATCACATCACCCCCGTGTATGCAGGCGGAGGGCTATGTGACGTGGACAACATGCGGACCCTATGCGTGGCATGTCATGCAGGTAGGGGCTTTTTGGGTTTTGAAAGTTTTATTTTCCCGGAGAGGAAGGGCGAACCTTTAAGTGTGGTTTTCGTTTTGGGTTTTCGTTTTGGGTTTTAGGGGGTTTAGGGGCCTTTGGCGGGCTTGACGGGAAAAGAGCGGGGACACGGGGGTTGTATGTGGAGAAAGAGATGCGTACCAGGGTTGTTCAGGGTTCAGTTAAACAGTGGGTGATTTTAAGGAACTGATTGATCCAGCTGCTCAGCTCCTCAGTCTGTCTGTCTGTCAATACTGCAGTACTGCAGTATATTCGCCGCATCCGGGGCAACCCCGATGTTTTTTTCCACGATCCTTTCCCCGATTTTTTACTTTTGTGGAGACGGCTTCTTGAAAAACAGATCTCATCTTCCCCTCGTTACCACGGTCAATCCCCCTTAACCCGTAAACCCTCCTCGTGCAGATGTCACAAAGGCCCAATGTAAGCAGCGGGCGGCGGAGCGGCAGCAGCGGCGGCTTGGAACCCGGGACATCCGTACATTTTGGGCCAAGCCGCCACCTGGCGGCGGCGGTGGCCTGCCGCCGCTGCCCAACAACAAGCGCCGTACAGATCCTTGGGTTGTTCCTGCCAACAAGCGCCGTCGGCCCGCCGCTGGCCGCGGCGTGACGTACATTGACACGTCGGACGATAGTCCTTCTCAAACTCCGTCGCTAGCGGCGGCAGTGGCGGCAGCAGTGGCCGTCAGGGGACGCGGTGGCGGTGCTGGCGCCGGCAGGTACGGCAACCCCGTCACCTTAAAGGCCGTGCCATGCGTAGGTCTGTACGGCGATGACGATGACGATGACAACGTGTGGGAGTTCAAGGTGATCGATCTGACCACCGGTGGCGGCGCGGCAGGCGATGACGGCGTTGGCCGGCCGGTCGCGGTTGACGACGCTAGCGATGCTGCGGCTGCAGCAGTCGTACAGGAGGTCGTGAATCTGGCGGACAGCGATCTAGGCGAGGGGGATGAGGAGCAGGCAGTGGCAGCTGCGACTGCAGCAGTAGCAGCATCGCCGGTTGCGTCGACGGCGGATCTAGCGGGGATGACCCAACAGCAGGAGAAGGGCTCCCAGACCGTGAAAGCTGAGTCGCAGAGTGCATCTGATGCCGCTGACGGATTCGCCGCCGCCGCCGCCGCCGCTGCGGTTGCGCCGGCAGGGGGGTTAGGAGGGAGGTCTGGGGCTCGGTCCTGGGCTGGCCGGCTGCGTGACAGGGTCTTGGAAGGTCGCGGCGGCGGCGGCGGTGGTGACGGCAACGCAGGGAAGGTAGGAGATGAGCATGCCACGCTTGTGCCCGGCGTTGCGGGGGCAACAGACGACTCGGTGGTCGGCGTCCTGGGTTCGGTTTCGGAGCAACTGGCGGCGGCGGCGGCGGCGGCAGCAGCAGCAGATACCGCGACGGAAGCCATGGACGTGAGCGTCGCGAGGACTTATGGCGATTGTGTCGCTTGTGATGACCCTTCGGATGGAACTGCGGTTGGTGCGGATGTTCATAGTGAAGTTGGTTGTGGTGGTTTCAGTGGTGGTGGTGGTGATGGTGACGGCGGTCTTGGCGGTCTTGCAGAAGGGGGCGACGTGGAAGGGAAGCTGGATGTGGCGGCTCTGCCGGGGACGCTGTTGAAAGTGGTGGCTGCGGCGGGGCCGCCGCCGGAGTCAGCTAAGCAACAGCAGCAGCAGCAGCAGCAACAGCAGCGCCGCAGCCGTTTGGCGCTTAAGAAGAAGCGCACGTGAGTCGTACACTTGCGACGGGAAAGGGCAGCAACCTGCGGTTACGTTTTATTATAGTTTGCAGCTTTAGGTTAGGGAAATAGACGTCGCGATCATTATGGATAATAGGTTTGCAAGGTGGGGAGAAAAAAACTTGAATTGATTCCGTATGATTGCCGTGCTACAGAAATCTGATCCAGAAGAACCGCTAGAGCTTGGTACGTACATAAACACATTCACAAGGCACCAGGGGAGATACCACGGCGCAATAACGTGAGCCTGAAGTGACGAAAATGTCCGCCGGGCTTGCGGTTTGCGGCGTGTTTTTGCTTTTTGCAGTAGGAAAGCTGGCGCCTGTCAGATTGGTCTGCCTGAATTAGGAGGGGATTAATGTTGGCGGGGGGGTTGTTGGCACTCCTCCTCACCAGCAGCCATGCTTTACCTCGCTCCTACACTTTACGCGTCTAAAATTATGAAGGGGTGAATTGAGGTGAGAGGGAGGGGGAAATGGGTTTTGGAAAAAGGATTTCAAATGGAACCTACGGAGCAGAGTCACTGTTGTGAGGCTGCGACTTGTGTTCCCTAGGATCTCGAGTGGCCGTCGTGACGGTCTATGATGACGTGTCCAGGAAAATCTGTCCATGGGTTCTTCTGTTGCTCACAGTATGATTGACCCTTTCCATGCATTCGGCTTTCGCGGCATTTTTGGGTTGGGGATGGAAGGCATGCTCGTACAGTCGTACTTGATGTGCCGGTGAGGCTGTGAGGATGAGGGGGAATGAGAATGGCTGATGCCGGGGACATATCCGTTATTGTATTAGCGTTTTTACGGTTGGGAAAGCGGGTTCTAGGGGTAAAATCCGTCGGGACGGGAAGCAGAGCAGACTGGCAGCTGTGCGAGGTGCAGCGAGTTGCTAGCTGCAGCATGAAGTTCATAACCGGTATTGATAAAGCACAAGAAGCTTCGCTCGGAGGAGCTTGGTTTGCCGAGACACTCAAAACACGCCCAAACAAAAAACGTGTTAGGCAGTGTGCAGCTAACTTTTACTGTAATCTTACGATTGGTCCGCAGGCAAGTTGAAAATTGTTGACCTTTTTTATCACGTTAATATATGTGCGAAGAAGTATGAAGGCTACTGATTTTAAGTTGGCCATTGCCTGTTGTGACCACGAGCAGGTGTTGGAAGACAGAGGGAAGGCGGGGGCGTGTAGCAGCGTGTAGCTGGTGGGGTAGCTGATGAAATGGAAGCATGGAACAGAGTTACTCCATGCGCTGCCAGAGATTTAACATATTTGAATTTAAATCCGTTGGCCGATCTCCGTCGACCGAATGGAGGCGGATATCGAAGCAGAGGACTCAGCGTCGCGGGTTGCCTGTTTCAGTCCCAAGCTCAGTTTGCCTACTAGGTTTACGCCAGCACTAGTGAAATCACGGGAGGATGAATATTCTTGCGACGAAGACGAAGACCTAAATTCGTTTTTCACGCTCAGTTGCATGTCGCGTGGTCGGAACTTGAATGTGTGTAAGCATTACATTACATTTACCTACCGAAACAGGTTCGCAAACGAAGTTCTTGATTGCCATACATGTACCTCCACCTAAATTTAACTTTCTGAAAACGGCGAGACGACGTCACAGGAGGTTTTTAAGCATCCATTTCAGTTGTTGGTGCGGGGTATGTGTGCGGCCAGCTGGGCATTCCGCGCTGGAATCAACGGGCAGGGCTTCGGCGGCTGCATGGGCTGCACAGGGCGTACTTGCATTTCGCAGGTTAAGCACAGCGTCACACAGAAAGATTACGTTATTAACAGATGGCTTGGTAGAGAGCAAGGCATTAAGGTCAGCAAGTCTTCCGGCTACTACAAGCCTGCCTAACGCCTAACGCGACACACGCAGACCAATTTCGTAAGACTCATAAATCACAATGGAAGTCTCTTCCTGGAAAGCTGCTGCATGCTGTGCTCATCCAACCGGAGAAGCCGCTCAGCAGTTTGACGGGCGGAAGGGTCCTGTGACGTGCTCACGCCTACTCCGCATCACACTACAGCCATTTACGAAACACATCATTTTGATGGGCAGAGATCGGAGCTAGTTGATACATATGTTGCTGTAATCAGTATCAGTTTATTACTTAGTAACAAAAGAAGCTCTAATACCTATTTTCTTCGAGGTACAACTAACGCCAAAACGTCTTCGTCAATCCAACTCAAACGTAAAATGTGCAATCTTAAAGTGTTTTGATTTTGGTAGATTAGGTTTGGGACTATGGCGGAAGAGGAACGGAGTGCTGTTGTTTCTCGAGGTGGACCGCCGTTGTATAGAGCCATGTCACCTCGTGGCACGGTGCTTTTGCTTTCATATTTACTGCTGGGATGTGCTGATTCAAGCGACCCGACAGCATCGGCCGCCGAACCACAGTTTAGCCCTCCAGACAATAACGGCACGACCTCTGTCATGTACACTGGTAGGTATTACTACGCATAAAACGACACATACGTTTGTAAATCTATGCTTAACACACGCTGCGACAAACTCTAATTCATCATCGCCCGCGCGCCCGTGAAGCACGCGAAACGGATTTTCTTCAATAGCGTGTCAAAAATTGCGAACTAAAGAGGCCAGGACTCTGATTTTACCATTAAACTGTGGCCGTCTATGACACCGGCCCTACTTCCCTTTTCCCATTCTCATCCCGATGCGGTCACTCACACCGTGTACCCCTCTTCATTCGTTCGTTGCCATTCTCACCCCGATACCACGCAGCCACGGTTATGTTCCGTGTTCGTGCCGCCTACCATTCACCACCGCCGAAACGCCAACCTCCTTGGCTGGCGCCTCCCAAGCAGCCCCCTCCCAAGCGATCGCCACCGTCTCGCATCCAGCTCCATCCACCCCCTCCAAGTCGGAGCCCACCACCTAACCATAAGAACTCATCACCAACTCACTCTCACAGTCCGCCGCCAAAGAAAACACCCACCCTCCGGCCACCATCTCCCCGACAACCACCCCCTCGGCGATCGCCACCGCTTTGCTCATCCTCTGCACTATTTGTACTTGAATCCGGACCTTCATCAACATCATCATCTCGGCACACGCCGCCATTGCCACGTCCCCAGTCCCATCGCCCGCCGTGGCCGCGCCCACCCTCCCTTCGCCGGCCCCCAAAACCACGCCCTCCTTCCCCACGCCCACCAGCATCTCACTCCGTGCGCCCTCCTCCCCCTCTTCCGGGGCCCCGTCGCCGGCCGCCATTGCCACGGCCCCCCCTCCCATGGCCGCCATATGCAATAACGCCACCACCACCTCCCCCTCCGCCGCCGGCACCCCCGAGATCTAGTACGGAAATTGAACTCCAAGTTGTTTGTCCCTTAAACGTGGACACAAGTTATGTCCGTCAAAGCCCCTATTGCGATACACCCATTGGCACAGTTGCTCGAAATGAAGA